GGACACCCTTCCCGGTCCGCCTCACGGTGAAGCTGACTGCAGGACACTCTTCCCGGTCCGCCTCACGGCGAAGCCGACTGCAGGACTCTCTTCCGGATGTGGTTCATGGAGATGGTCACCTCAGTTAAGGATCTCCCAACTTAACCATGATTTAAGAATTAGCACCCCAGTAATTTGAGAGACTTTACTGCACTTGTATATGAGGGACCAAGAGACAAAACTGGAAGGAAAAATGTGTGCCCTGTTATTTGATTTTAAATCCTTACCAATATATTGTCATTCCTTCGTAAAACAGAATACACGAAGGCTGGACATGAGCAGTAAAGGCAGGAGCTTAGGCAATGATATACCTGACCAGAGCTTCCTTCAACCTACAGACCAAAACAGAATTCATTCATTTAGATTCAAATAAAATAAACTAGACAGCAGCCCATCAGAAAATGCAAAGTCAGAGTCCCAGACAGGAACTGTTTTGAGGAGGAATGGGGATAATATTGATCTTAGCAAGGACAGGATTGCACAATTTATTAATATAACGTTGGGTCTGATCTAAACCTTTCCAGCCATGTAATTAACACAAACAACATCCCAGTCAAACAACCTTTACCTGGTTGTTAATTGCTACAATGATTTCTCATGATTAACAACCTCAAAGTAACACCAACAATTTGAAACCCAAGCTAAGAAGTGACAAAAAAATAGGATTGCAGAATTTAAAGTAGGGTGTTGGTACCCAGTGCATAAAGAAAGTTTTAGCATTAAGCCACGTATTGATTATCAAGACATACAAATAGACATAGACCCAGTGTAGAGACATACAGACTGCACATTCACAGAGTCACAGACCCAATGTGAGGACATACAGACTGTACCCTCAACTGATGCTACAAAGAAAAGAAGAAAACAATGAACACTCCAGTAATTCATTGACTCTTCAGCTTTGTATACATTACTGTGTTTCACAATGTTCGAGAAATTCAATAACTGAAGAATTTTGGGTATTAATGGAGAAAACTGACTTAAACTGACTAAATATTCCTGTAAGGCTACTTCTTTTTGTAATAAACTGATTTTTCCATGCTTGCAAAATTTTCCTTCCACAAAGATAAACCATTTTATATTATTTCCAGTGAGGGAGATTACACAATTCCCACAGTTAACCTTGCCTGAATGCTGACATCATCAGGTCAATTCAAACTGTTATGTTGCAGCACAGACATGTTGTTCAGTGGGTGACTCTACTAACGGGGTTAGATACAAAGTAAACCCTCTCTACACTGCCCCTATCAAACAATCCTAGTACAGTGACAGCATGGGGTCAGATTGTGAGTAAAGTTTTCTCTACACTGTCCCTATCAAACACTTTCGGGACAAGGACAGCACGGGATTAGATATAGATTAAAGCTCATTTTACACCATCCTCAAACATACCCAAGACAGGTACAGCATGGGGCACGACACAGAATAAAGCTCCCTCTGACTGTCCCTCTCAAACACTCACAGGGTGGGTACAGCTTTATGTCTCTATCTCTTTTTCTCCCCCTCCCACACAGAAGATATTTGATGAAGTATTTCATCTTGTGCTGTATGTTAGTGAGCAGATGATGTTTCTGCATCACCATAGAGTAAGTTTATAGATTGGCTAACAAAGTGATGACAGAGAATGGGAATACATAGGCATTTTCAGGATGGCAACCAGTAACTAACAGAATGCCACAGTCTGTGGCCAGAATTAATTACAATACATATTAATGACCTGGATGATGGAAGTGAATGTACATTCGCCAGGTTTGCTGATAACACAAAATATGTGGGTTGGCAAATGTTGAGGATGATTCAAAGAATCTGCAGATGGATGAGACAGGTTAAAGGAGTGGGCAAAAACTTGGCAGGTGGTATATGATGTAGGCAAATGTGCTTTCACGGCAAGAATAGAGGAGCTGAATATTATATAAGTGGAGAAAGACTGTAGAAAGCTGCAGCACAGAAGAATTAGGAAATCTTGTGTATGAATCACAGAAAGCTAGCATCCAAGTTCAGCGTTGATAGGGAAGGCAAGTGGAATGTTGGCCTTTGTTTCAAAGGGAAGGTAAGGGGGGGGCTTGCTAAAGCTATACATGGCATTACTCTAACCACAGGTGGAATATTGTGAAGAGTCTCAGTCCCCTCATCTAAACAAAGATATCATGGCATTGGAGGCAGTCCAAAGAAGGTTCAGTAGGCTGATCCCAGGTATGGAGGGATTTTCTTGGGAGGAGAGGTTGAGCAGATTGGGCCTATACCCATTGGAAGAATTTAGGGGGAGGCAATGGCCTAATGGCATTATTGCTAGACTATTAATCCAAAAACTCAGCTAATGTTCTGGGGACCAGATGGTGGAATTTCAATTAAATAATTAAATCTGGAATTAATATCTGCTGATGCTCATGAAAACATTGTCAATTGTCAGAAAAAAAAACATCTGGTTCACTAATATCCTTCAGGGATGGAAATCTGCCATCCTCACCTGGTCTGGCCTACATATGACTCCAGACCCACAGCAATGTGGTGGTTTCTCTATGCCTTCTGAAATGGCCTAGCAAGCCATTCAGTTGTATCAATCACTACTCAGTCTCAACGAAGAACGAAACCGGATGGACCACCTAGCATTGAGCTAGGCATTGGTAACAAATCTATTGACCCTGCAAATTTGTCCTAGGTGTCTTCTGGGTGCTAGTGCCAATATTGCGAGAGCTGCCTCACAGACTACTCAAGCAATAGCCTGACACAATCATACTCTCAGAATCATCCCTAACAATGTCCCAGACACTGCCATCACCATCCCTGGAAAAGTCCTGTGTCACTGGCACGACAGACCCAACAGGGGTGACAGCACAGTGGTATACAGTCGGGAGGGAGTTGGCTGGGAGGCCTCAACATTGACTCTGAACCCTATGAGGTCTCATACCTTCAGGTTAAACACAGGCAAGGGAACCTCCTGCTGATTGCCATGCACCATCCTCCCGCTGCTGATGAATTAGTGCTCCTCCTCCATGTTGAGGACCACTGAAAAGAAGCACTGAGGGAGACAAGGGTGCACAATGTACTCTGGGTGGGGGATTTCAATGCACATTACCAAGAGTGACTCAGCAGCAGTACTACTGATTGAGCTGGTCGGGTCCTAGAGGACATAGCTGCTAGACTGGGTCTGCGGCAGGTGGTGAGGGAACCAAGAGGGAAAAACATACCTGACCTCATCCTTACCAATCTGCCTGCTGCAGATGCATCTGTCCATGACAGTATCAGTAAGAGAGACCACCTTGTGAAGGCAAAGTCCCACCTTCATACTGGGAACACCCTTCAATTGTGTTGTGTGACACTACCACCGTTCTAAATGGGACAGACTTTGAACAGATTTAGCAACTCAAGACCGGGCATCCATGAGGCACTGTGGGCCATCAGCAGCAGCAGAATTGTACTCCAGCACAATCTGTAACCTCAACAGCCCGGTATATCCCCTACTCAACCATTACCATCAAGCCAGGGGATCAATCCTGGATCAACGGAGAGTGCAGGAGGGCATGCCAGGAGCAGCACCAGGCATACCTGAAGATGAGGTGTCAACCTGGTGAAGCCACCAAACAGGACTATTTGCACGCCAAACAGCATAAGCAAGTGATAGACTGAGCTAAACGATCCCACAACCAACAGATCAGATCTAAGCTCTGCAGTCCTGCCACATCCAGTCGTGAATGGTGGTGGACAATTAAACAACTCACTGGAGGAGGCAGCTCCTCAAATACCCCCAACCTCGATAATGGGGGAGCCCAGCACATCAGTGCAAAAGATAAGGCTGGCTTTCACAGCAATCTTCATCCAGAAGTGCTGAGTGGATGATCCATCTCTTCCCAATTTTTACAGATGCACCACAGTGTAGCATGGAAACTGCTCTTCCTAACACCGCAAGAGACTATAGAGAGTTGTGAACACAGTCTGGTCCATCACACAAACCAGCTTTCTATTCATTGACTCTATACTTCCTGCTGCCTTGGGAAAGCAACCAACATAATCAAAGACCCCTCCAACCCTGGTTATACTCTCTTCCACCTGCTTCCATCAGGCACAGGATATAAAAGTTTGAATACACATATGAATAGATTCAAGATAACAAGGTTGGAGCTGGATGAACACAGCAGGCCAGGCAGCATCAGAGGAGCAGGAAAGCTGACGTTTCAGGTCTGGACCCTTCTTCAGAAATAGATTCAAGAACTGCTCCTCTCCCATTGTTATCAGACTTTTGAACAGACCTCTCAAAGGTTGAGGTTGGTTGGCTCGCCGAGGTGGTTTGTTGTTCTGCAGGCGTTTCATTACCCTGCTGGGTAACGTCATCAGTGCAGCCTCCGATGAAGGCTCGATGTGTTTTCCCGCCTGGTTTTTAAACTCTGGAGTCTGTTGAGCTGGATCGCCTCACTTCTGGTTTTCCTTCGTAGTGGAGTGTATATGGGGTCGAGTTCTATGTGTTTATTAATGGCTTTCTTTGTGGAGTACCAGGCTTCTAGGAATTCCCGTACCTGCCTCTGCTTAGCTTGTCCCAGGATCTTGGTGTTGTCCCAGTCGAATTGGTGGTTCTCCTTATCTATGTGGATTGACAGGAGCAAGTATTGGTCGTGTCTTTTTGTAGCCAATTGGTGTTCGTGTACCCTTGTTGTTAGTTCCCTTCCTGTTTGTCCGATGTAGTGTTTCTCACAGTCTCTGCAGGGGATCTTGCAGATGACATTGGTCCTGTCCATGGCGGGGAGTGAGTCTTTAGTTCGGGTGAGCAGTTGTCGTAGGGTTGATGTGTGCTTGTGTGCCACTCTGATGCCCAGCGGTCATAGGAGTCTTGTGGTTAGTTCCGACGTGTTCCTGATGTAGGGTAGTGTGATCAGTGTGTCAGGGCGTGTAGTATCTTCCTGATGTTGTTCGTGTAGGCATCTTCTTTTTTGGATCCATCCCAGTTTTTTGGATATCCATTATCCTTGAAAACCTGGAAGAGATATTCTTCTTCCTCTTGGCGTAGTTCCATGTTGCTGCAGTGTGTTGTTGCCTGTTTAAATAGTGTTCGCACGCAGCTTCATTTGTGTGTGTTGGGATGGTTACTGTTGAAGTTCAGTACCTGGTCCGTGTGTGTGGCTTTTCTGTGTACTTTTGTTTGGAGTTCCCCATTTGTCTTGCGTTCTACCATGATGTCCAGGATTGGGAGCTGTTTGTTTAACAATAAATTAATCAATCACAGCCATTTCCAGTGGTCCCCTGATTCACAGATACCAGTCTTCAATTAATTTGGTTCACTCCTCGTGAAGTTGGAGACACTGGATACTGCAAAGGCTATGGGCCCTGACAACATTCTGGTAATAGTATTGAAGACTTGCGCTCCAGAAGATGCTGCTCCCCTATGCAAACTCTTCCAGTACAGTTACAACACTGGCATATACCCAACAATGTGGAAAATTGCCCAGGTATGTCCTGCACACTAAAAGCAGGACAAAACCAACCTGGCCAATTCCTGTCCCATCAGTCTACTCCCGATCATCAGGAAAGTGATGAAAGGCATCACCAACAGTGCTATCAAACAGCACCTGCTCAGCAATAACCTGCTCAGTGACGCCCAGTTTGGGTTCCGCCACGGCCACTCAGCTCCCGACCTCATTACAGCCTTGGTTCAAACATGGACAAAAGAGCTGAATTTCCTGAGGTGAGGTGGGAGTGACAGCTCTTAAAGTCCAGGCTACATTCGACTAGGTGTGGCATCAAGGAGCCCTAGTAAAATTGTGGGGTTGAAGTGGGGATGTTCGCTGATGACTACATCCACCACTAATGCTCGGTTGCAGTAGTTTGTATGATCTGCAAGATACACTGCAGTAATTCACCAAGGCTCCTTTAGACAAAGCCTTCCAAACCCATGCCCACTTCCATCTAGAAGGACAAGGGCAGCAGATACATGGGAACACCCCCATGTGCAAGCTCTCCTCTAAGCCATTCACTATCCTGACCTGGAAGTACATCATCGTTCCTTCACTGTCACTGGGTCAAAATCCTGGAATTTCCTCTCTCAGGACATTGTGGATCAACCTACAGAACATGGACTGTAGTGGCTTAAGGAGGCAGTTTACCACCAACTTCTCAAGGGCAATTAGAGATGGGCAATAAAAATTCTGGACAGTAAGTGACGTCCACGTCCCATGAATGAATAACAAAAAAAAATTAAGAATGAGGACAATCATATTGAAACATACAATAAACTTAGGGACTTGACAGGATAGATACAGAGGATTGTTTCCCCTTGAGAGAGAGAGTTGAGGACGAGGGCATTTTTAAAAAAATTCAGTCACAGGATAGATGTATTGCTGGCTGGGTCAGCACTTTTATCCACTGGTAACTGCCCAACCATATTGCCTGGTGTTACTCATAGGCCAGATCAGGTCAGGATGGTAGCTTCCCTCCCTAAATGACATTAGTGAACCAGATGGGTTTTCCGACAATTGACAATGTATTTGTGATCATCATTAGAATTCTCAATTCCAGATTTCTATTCATTTCAAATCCACCATCTGCCATGGCGAGATCTGAAGACAGGTCCCCAGAACATTTTCTGGATTAACAGTCCAGTAATAATACCCCTAGGCTATTGCTTCCCCTTCATCCCTTCCGCATTATCTTAGTACAAGGAGTCACTGAGTTAGGACAGAGATGAAGAGGAACTTCTAACTTTATAGTGCAGTCAATGTAGAGAATTCTTTACAATGGAGGGCTGTTATGCTGGATTGTTAAGTATATCCAAGGCTGAGATAGGCTGATTTTTAATCTGTAAGGGAGTCAAGTGTTATAAGGTAAAGGCAGGAATGTGGAGTTGAGGATCATCAGTTCAGCCATGATCTCACTAAATGACAGAGCATGCCCAGTGGGTTAAATGGCCCATTTCTGCTTCTGGAAGAAATGTTGACACAGGAACTAATGACAGAAAAAGACAACAGTAATTGCAGCAGATTGAAGAATCTTGATATAGCCTTCCCGACACGGGTGTGGTACAGAAAAAAAAAACTGTTCCACTGACTGGCACAGAGATTTTCTCCTTCCTCCAAGGTATAGAGGGATATTTAATTTTGTGGAGCATCACAGATCGATCCACTACGGATGTCACCCATTCTATTCAGATACTTGTAACTCGGTGTCACTGTTCCCAATGCAATCAGAGTCAAAGCTGGGATGTTCCTGAAATGTACAGTTAATGGGGAAATAGATTGTCTTGAATATTACAGGACCATAAGGGAACCAAAATGATTGCACTCTCAAATTAAAACATTTATACATGATAGAAATTTTAAAATACCATACCTGGTACAGTGATCTTCCACTAGGTGACTGAACGAGTGTAACTGAACGTCGATCCACCAGCTCTAAGGCATGCAAGGCAGCTGGACCGAAAACAAATTTGAGTCTGGAGAAGAAATAACATTTCAGTCTAGTAGGAGCTTTTGCGTTAACACCAAATCGATCACAATGTAGATGCTGCTGGTGGTGGAATGTTTTTAAGGCAGAGATAGAGATTCTTGTTAAGCAAGGGTGTGTCAGGGGTAAGCAGGAATATGTATTTGAGGTTACAATCACTTCAGCCCTGACCTTAATGAATGAGGGAGCAGGGTCAAGGGGCTGTATTGTTGCCTCCGCCTAATTAATATATATAATTCAGAGTCAGAGTCAGAGTAATACAGCACAGAAACAGACCCTTTGGTCCAACTTGTCCATGCTGACCTGATAGCCCAAACTGATCTAGTCCCATTTGCCAGCATTTGGCCCATATCCTGTTCACAAATTTTTGTAAGTGGCAGGCCAGGTTGAGAAGGTTGTTTTGGAATTGCCAAACAATGATTTCTCTTTCTTCAGCCTTGCTCACTCTGGTTACATTTATTATGGTTGTCTAACTGATCAATTGCCAATTTCTCAGGAATGGGTTCCAATATGTTCCTGACACATCAGGCATAATAAAGATGATGTATGGTGCACAATGAGGCTACCAGTCCATCATGTTGGTGCTAGCTGGAAAAGAACTATCCAACTTGAACTTATATTCCAGAAACTGGTCCATAGCCTCGGAGATCAAGCCAAAAATTAATCTTTTATCTGTCAAACTGTTTTAGTTTTCAGTTCTGCATATTACGGCTCCTGGTTTACATTCTTTTTTATCCAATCATTTCTTCATTTCCCAGATTAATCAATCACCAGTTCCATTTTCTATCTATCTTTGGGTTTTATCTTTCCTGAGTAATTAATATGAGCTGCTTTTATGGAATATGTATTGACATTGGGAGGTCATGGTTAAACACAGTTGACTACAGAGAAAACAAATGTAGGGAGAATAAAAATACTTAACACTACTGATACAAGCAATTAGATGTGGTATAGGACACCTTGCCGGGTACAGCTCCTATAAAATGTTTTTGAATGAGTTTACTTTCATAGATGGTTTTGAGGGAGAGAAAGAGTGTATGACTACTGTGAGCATGGATGTGAGCACACGCACAGGTATGAGTGCGCATGTGAGAGAGAGAAAGTATTTGGTGAGAGAGAGGGTGTAGGTAGATGCACGTATGGGTGAGTGTGAGTGAGAGTGAGTGTGTGGGGATGTGGGTGCAAGTGTGGGTTTGGTTGTTAGTGTGCATGAGGGAGTGGTTAAGATTACGGATACGCGTATGAATGAGACTGTGGGTATTGAATATGAGTGCGAGTGTGAGTAGTGACAGTGGTACGAGTGAGAGTGAGAATGCGGCTATGGATATTGTTAATGTGTGTGTGGGTGTGCATGCAGATGAGATGTTGATCAAGAGTGTGACTGAGAGTAGTTGTTCATGTTGTGTGGCTGAGAATGAGCTTGTTGTCCGTGTGTGTCTCTGGGTGAGACTGAGTGTGACTGAGTGTGAGCATGCAAGAGTGGGTGTAAACCAAAGTCTCTAGGTGTAGGTATGTGAGCAGGTGTGGATAGCAAAATGTAGGTATGGTTGTTAGTGCTGAGGGGCGTGGGGTGCAGGTGTGGGTATGAGCTCCTGTAGGTTATACATCAGTTTTGCATGATTTCAGTAACAAGAACTAAAACTGGAACAAAACACAAAGTTGCTGGAAAATCTCAGCAGGTCTAGCAGATCTAGCAGATCCTGTGAAGAAAAAAATCAGAGTTAATGTTTCAGGTCCGGTGACCCCTCAGGTTCTGTGGAAGGGTCACTGGACCTGAAACGTTAACTCTGATTTTTCTTCACAGATGCTGCTAGACCTGCTGAGCGTTTCCTGCAACTTCTGTTTTTGTTCCTGATTTACAGCATCTGCAGTTCATTTGGTTTTTATTAAGAATTAAAACTGATCTGCTGAAATAACAACTGGCAACACAACCTCTGACCTAGAATCCCTGCATCAAGAATATGCATTGTTTAATATACACTATTTATATATTCTATACATTTCAATTGATCGTATAATGCACACTCTAGATCCCTCATCACATTGAGCACACCTTTATTAACTCTCCTCTTCACCAATTTAACATCATACGCCTGGCCCTGGGGCGCCCGGCAGGAATGGCGCCCGGCCCTGGGGCGCCTGGCAGGAACAGCGCCCGGCAGGAATATTGCACGATGGTGGTATACCTGACAGGACACTGGACAACAGTAAGATATCTGAGAGGAACACTGTAATAGCATGGTATACCCAACAAGAGACCTCTGTAACACTGGTATACCCAATGGGAGAAATATACAACACTGGTGTACTCGCCAGGGATATTAGACATCACTAGCATGTCTGACAAGAACAGTACACCACAGATATGTTTGACAGGAAGACGCTATAGCACTGATATCCTTCACTGAATCAGCAGACAACACCTGTAATCTGACAACAGCAATACGTAACAGTGTGAATGTCGTAACTTGAAGAGTGTGCTGTTCCACAAACTATCATAAATGTATCAAATTCCAATAATAGAAGAGCCAGAAAACGAGTTAAACCAAAAAAAAAAGAACTGCCGATGCTGGAGTCAGAGATAACACAGTGTGGAGCTGGAGGAACACAGAAGGCCAGGCAGCATCAGAGGAACAGGAAAGCTGATGTTTCGGGTCAGAGTCCCGACCCAAAACGTCAACTTTCCTACTTCTCTGATGCTGCCTGGCCTGCTGTGTTCCTCCAGCTCCACCCTGTGTTATCTTAAACCAAGTAAAGCTTCTTTTGGTTTGTCTGCATCTGGGCATTTCTGGGGCATTGAATATTCTCAAGTCACGTTGCAACTGCACAAGACTTTTGCAGCATTGTGTATAGTTCTGGTTGCTGCACCAGAGGAAGAATGTGGAAGTTTTGGAGAAGGTGCAGAAGAGGTTACCGGGATGTTCCCTAGATTGGCGTATTTGCTATAAGGAGAGATGGGACAAATGTGGATTGTTTTTGCCCCGAGGGGCAACCTGATAGAAGAATGCAAAATGATGAGAGGCATGGATAGGGTGGATAGTCGGAGTCTGTTTCCCAGGGTGGAAATGTCAAATACCACGGAGCATAGGTTTAAGGTGAGGGTGGGGGTGGAGATGGGGTTTGAAGGAGATGTGTGATGGAAGTATTTTTAAAACACAGAGTAGTAGGTACCTGGAACAGCTGCTAGGGGAGTTGGTAGAAGCAAAGTTTAACAGGCATTTAGACAGACACATGAACAGGCAGAGAATACAGGGGTACGGATCACGTGCAGGCAGATGAGATCGTGATCGGTACAGACATGGTGGGCTTAAGGGCCTGTTTGTGTGCAGTACTGTTCTATGTCTGCCCGTATAGGTGTTTTAAAAGGGGGTTAGAGTCTTAACTAGTAGAACCATATGTTGATAGCTCATAGCTGTTTACTTCTGATTAGAACGAACTTACTTATAATAAACAATATTCCTTGTTAAGTACAGGAACTTGGGCAGTGTTTTCTGTAACTTGGTAACTTCTGTAACAGACCTTATGGTAAAGCGGGGACCTTACGTGCTTTGATTACAGGGTTACCGTCTGTGGTGACAATAAGAGTAGTGGGGCTCGAGAATCAACACACTTTTCCAAGTGGGTCATAAGAGTCTCAAAATTTATTTGAGATAGAGGAAATCTTTCTGCAGACATAAACTCTATATGTAATCAAAAACTATGACTCTCTGTATCTGTGCATGTGCTATTTTGATTTAATTGTAGCTTTAATAAACTTTGTCCTGATCAACAAAAACAGGTCACATCAGCTCTGATGAAGTGTCATCTAGACTCAAAACATTAGCTAGTTCTCTCCCCATGGATGCTGCCTGACCTGCTGTGATTTCCAGCATTTGTTGTTTTTAAAAACAGGACGTTATTGTTACTGTTTATTGTCAAATCTTATGAAAGACAGAATTCTTGACAGCTCATAATAATCTGTTTTTCAAAAAGTCAAGTTTGCAGTAAACACCTTATGAATGCAATGCTATTCACACTTCTGTGAGAAGTACTATTGGTGTGCTTGGTTCTGGCAAAATTCAAAATTTTCATACTGCTTTGGGTCAGTGTTTTAAATTTAACATTTGTAAATGCTGAATTAATTTGGAGAATTTCTTCACAATGTAAGATCCTGAGCTGCCTTCAGGTGTATACTGAGGGAATGTTTCCTTTTGTTGTTGAGGTTAAAACTAGGGGCCTCAGACTAAGAGTAAGAGGTCTCTCTTTTAAACAGAAATGGGAAGAACTTTGTTTTCTCTCAAGAGGGTCATTAGAATGTGAAATTCTCTTCCCGAGAAGATAGTGGAGACTGGTATTTGATGCTCATCTGTAATCATCCTGAAGGTGGCAGTAGCGAGCTGCCTTCTAGTGTTTAAAGAGATTGGCAGGGGGTGTCTTCATCAACAGCAGCGAGGCATGTGCTGTAATCAGAAATAGCTGGTCAGGCTGAAACATGACAGGGAGTGAGGAATGCCTGTTGGATTAAATTGCATCTATTTCAATGCAAGAGGGCTGACAGGTAAGGCTGATGAACTCTGGGCATGGATAGGTATGTGGGGCTGGGATATTATAGCCAATACAGAAACATGGCTAAGGGAGGGGCAGGACCGGCAGCTTCATGTGCTAGGGTACAGGTGCTTTAGGTGGGACAGAGGTGGAGGAAAGAGGGGAGGGGGTGTTGTATTTTTCATTAAGGGGAGTATCACAGCAGTAGTCAGAGATGAAATAACAGGGATCATCCAGTGAGGCATTGTGGGTGCAGCTAAGAAATAAGGAGGGGACGGTGATGTCATTGCAGCTGTACTAAAGGCCCCCAAATAGTTAACAGGAATTAGAGGAACAAATATGCAGGGAGATTGCGGAGACCTGTAAGAGAACTATGGTTGTCATAGTGGGGAATTCTAATTTTCCTAACATAGACTAGGACTGCCATAGTGGTAAGGGATTAGATGGGGTGGAATTTGTTAAATGTATGCAGGAAAGTTTCCTCAAGCAGTGTACAGAGGGTTTTACTCAGGAAGGGGCAAAACTCAACCTACTCTTAGGGAAACAGGGCAGGACAGGTCACTGAGGTGACAGTGGGGGAGCACACTGCGACCAACTACCATAGTTCTACAAATTTTAAAATAGCTATGGAGAGGGACAAAACTGTCCACAGGTTCAAGTTCTAAATTGGGGCAAGGTGAATTTTGATGGAATAAGACAGGAGCTTGCAGGGGTTGATTGTAGTTTGTTTGCAGGTAAAGGGACCTCCAGCAAGTGGGAGACCTTTAAAAGTGTGACAGCTAGTGTTCAAGGTCTATATGTTCCTGAGAGGGTGAAGGGCAAGGTTGGCAGGAGTAGGGAACCCTGGATGACAAGAGACATTGAGGCTTTGACCAGAAAGAGGAGGCATGGCTCAGGTACAGGCAGCTGGGATCATGGGAATCCCTGAAGGTATACGGGGATACAGGAGTTTACTGAAGGAGGAAATCAGGAGGGCGTGAAAAAGGGGCACGAGATAGCTTTGGCTGAGAAGATTAGAGAGAATCCAAAGAGACTCTTTAAATATATTAAAGGAAAAAAAAATCTAGACAGAGAATAGGACCCCTCAAGGACAAAAGTGGACATGTATGTGTGGAACCGTAGGAGATGGGCGAGGTCCTCAATGAATATTTCTCCTCCATGTTTACCAAGGAGAAAGACGAGACAATTTGGGAACTTGGGAAAGTTAGTGGTGACATCTTGGGGACAGTCCATATCACAGTACAGGAGGTGTTATAAGTTTTATAACGTATGAAAATGGATAAATCTCTTGGTCCTGACCAGATATTTCCAAGAGTGCTGCAAGAGACTAGGGAAGAAATTGCAAAAACAAACCTGGGAATTATAGACCAGTAAGCTTAACATCTGTGGTAGGTATGTTACTTAAGAAGGTTCTGAGGGATAAGATATACATGCATTTAGAAAGACATGGTTTGAATCGGAGTAGTCAGCATGGCTTTGTGCGTGGGAGATCATGCCTCACAAATTTGTTAGAGTTCTTTGACGAAGTGATCAGGAAAGTTGATAAGGGTAGGGGGGTAGACATGGCCTACATGGATTTCAGTAAGGCCTTTGATAAGGTTTCATATGGTTGGCTACTCTGGAAGGTTAGATCGCATGGAACCCAGGGAGAGCTGGCAAATTAAATACACAATTGGTTTGATGGTAGGAAGCAGAGAGTAATAGTGGAAGGATGCTGGTCAGACATGAGGCTTGTGACTAGTGGTGTGCCTCAAGGGTCGGTGCTGGGCCCACTACTGCTTGTTATCTACATCAATGATTTGGATGAGAACATACAAGGCATGATTAGAAAGTTTGCGGATGACACTAAAATAGGCGGTATCACGGACAGTGAGAAAGGTTATCAGAAATTGCAGCAGGACCTTGATAGCTGGGGAAGTGGGCCGAGAAATGGCAAATGGAGTTTAACATAGGTAAGTGTGAGGTGTTGCATTTTGGAAAGTCAAATCAAGGTGGGAGTTTCATAGTGAATGGTAGGGCCTTAAGGAGTGTAGTGGAACAGACGGACATTGGAGTTCAGGTGCACAGTTCCCTGAAAGTGGAGTCACAGGTAGACAGGGCAGTGAAGGCGGCTCTTGGCGCACTGGCCTTCATCAGTCAGGGCACTGAATATAGAAGTTGGGAAGTTATGTTGCAGTTGTACAGGACGTTGGTGAGGCTGCACTTGGAGTATATGGAAGGATGTTATTAAACTGGAAAGTGTGCAGAAGAAATTTACAAAAATGTTGCCAGGACTCAAGGGAATGAGTTATAGGGAGAGGTTGGACAAACTAGGACATTTTTCTTTCGAGTGTAGGAAACTGAGGGGGTATCTTATAGAAGTGTATAAGATCACGAGAGGCATAGCTAGGGTGAATGCACTCAGTCATTTTCCCAGAGTTGGAGAATCGAGGACGAGAGAGCATCAGTTTAAGATAAGTGGGGAAAGAACACATGGGAACCTGGGGCCAACTTTTCTTTAGACAGAGGTTGGTACACATACGGAATGAGCTGCCAGTGGAAGTGGTTGCGGCAGGTACATTAACAACATTTAAAAGACATTTGGGTGAATACATGGATCGGAAAGGTTTAGAAGGATATGGGCCATGTGCAGGGAAATGGGGTTAGCGTGAATGGACATTTTGGTCAGCATGGACCAGTTTGGGCCAAAGGGCCTGTCTCTGTGCTGTAAGACTCTATGACTCCTGACCCTCTGCAGTCCATGGAGTATAGGTTCACCAACATTGCTAGCTGGTAGGACAGTTCATTATTCCAAATACTACAGATATCTGTGTTTTGACGTACTGGTGCAGAATAAGATTGCATTCTTAACCACATACACTGAGACCATTTGATAAAACATTTGAAGTTACAATGCATTGTGTGACAGGCTTATCAAGACTTGTAGTGAGTGAGTATTTCAATTCAGGAATTGCAGACTGAAGCACTGTTCATATGCAAACTTTAGATACACACACCGAAACAAACGCTCAGGAAACTTTTGTAAATAGTCTATAAAAGATTAATTTAAAAGTGTTAATTATTGCCAACAATCAAAGTAACACCATTAGAGCAGATCCTAAATCAACCAAGACATTTACTGAATGATTTCAGAACCAAAGAACAGATGGAGAAACTCTCCTAAGAGTACTCACGCCAGAAGGAGTTCATCTGTCACTGCAAAACACAAGAATCAAGGAAGCTTTGTCAGTGTCCATTTCACAAACATATCCTCTCAAATCTAATCAAACAAAAACAGTCACGTAGCATGGATCATACCCAGAACAGAAACTAATTAAACTAAAAACAAAAATTCAGCTCCCAAGTCAAGCTATTCAGTAAATAATATCAACACTGTAACACCTGTGGCCTGTGGTGGTGAGAGTTAGCATGCTAGCTAGATGTTCTGGGTTAGCGGGGGAAATCAGCAGGAGCTCACTGCACTAGCCTGCAGACTCCCTCCCTGTTGTCCTCTGGCTCTATCCATCCTCCTACCCTGCAGCACTGCCTCTTCAGGTCCCACAGCTGCCTATGCCTTTAAGTGGTACATTGGTGAATAGATGAACAAAATCAAACATGCACATGGATACTGCACTACTATCAATATGCAAGTCCTTTATGGTCTTCACAAACATGTAGGAATCCTTCACAAACAAATAAGGCCCGAGTTATTTGCTCTCAATGCAAACTTGATGCTGAAATAGGATGCATCAAAGCTATCCTGCCAGGTAACGGCTACTCTGCCCTGAAAATTTCTGGCTTGACATGATACAAACTCAAGTCAGGTCATAAGGTGGTCACTCTTGGTCCTGAAAAGTGCTCAGTCTACCTCTGAATGCTCTGAAAATCAGAATCAGAAATTGCTGGAAAAACTGAACAGGTCGGGTAGCATCTGTGGAGACAAAGCAGAGTTAACGTTTTGGATCTCATTCTTCAGAACCGCTGATAGCGGTTTGGTGGCACCACTACATATCAAGCTGGTCAGGTCCTAAAGGACTTAGCTGCTAGACTGGGTCTGCAGTTGGTGATAAGGGAACCAACAACAGGAAAAAACACACTTGACCTCATCCTTGCCTATTGTTGTAACCCTTCCTTTTACCATGACTAATCCACCTAGCCTGCATATCCCTGGACACTAAGGGCAATTTAGCACAGCTAATCCACCTAATCTACACATCTTTGGTTTGTGGGAGGAAAGTGGAGTACCCTGTAGAGCCCACGCAGACAAGGGGAGAGGGTGCAAACTCCACACAGTCACTCGAGGGTGGAATCAAACCCTGGTCCACTGAGCTGTACTGGTGATTGGTGGTGGGCGATTAACCAGCTCAATGGAGGAGTCAGCTCCACAAACACCCCCATCCTCCATGATGGGGGGAGGCCAGCACATGAGTGCAAAAGATAAGGCTGAAGCTTTCGCAACATCTCAGCTAGAAGGGCTGAGTAGATGGTCCTACTTTGCATCCTCCCCTGATATCCCTCCTCAATCCACAAGAAACATCTGGAAGCACTGGACACTGCAAAGGCTATGGGCCCTGACAACATTCCGGCAATAGTTAACAATGTGGCTTTCAGAGTATTTGAGATCAGAGATAATGATTTCTGAAGATTTCTCAGATTCACAGGAAATACTTCACAGATATTTTAAATACACATTAATACATATAAAGAGAGAGTGGGGAAGGGGGAGAGAGAAAGGAAAAGAAAAAGAGAGAAAGAAAAAGAAAAAGCAAAAAAAAGAGAGAGAATTGCGTCCTTACAAATATTTCAGGTCTGTGGCAAAACAGAAGACAAATTCCAGAGGCTGCCGCGAGGCAACCTTCAGCACTCAATCCCTTCTAAAACTCAGCTGGCTGGCCAGAAACTATATGCTGTTGAGCACTCTCTCATCTCTCTGATAAAAGCTTTATTTCCAAAGTCACTTAGTGTTTTTTGTAAACATTTGGTTTGTTTCCAAAACCACCTTATTTTTAATTCTTTGTAATCATCTCTGTCTCATTTAATCGGATTATAGGCCACCCTTTTGCTTGTTATTCAGACGTTGAGACTTCACTCACACCGTCTGACACTATTGATACCTGCAGAGACCTATTCTTCAGCCTATTCACACTCCACTCACACCATTTGTAGGATCTTTTGATCTCTTTCCCCACCGATCTCTCTGCCTATAAATTCTGTGCCCTATGTGCTTCTCTGTCACTCCACCTAACGAAGGGGCAACACTTGTAAAACATGCGCACCCACAGATCAACGAATACCGCTCACGCTTGGACATAGAGCAGTTTTTCCGCCGCCTCCGCCTCCACGCTTACTTCTTTAACCGTGAACCTAACCCTCCCTCTACTGACCCCTTCTCCCGCTTCCAACACACCCCCTCCTCCTGGACACCACCCCAAGGCCTCCTACCCTCCCTCGACCTCTTCATCTCCAACTGCCGTCGAGACATCAATCGCCTCAACCTCTCCACCCCTCTCACCCACTCCAACCTCTCCCCCGCAGAACGTGCAGCCCTCCGTTCCAATCCCAACCCCACCATAAAACCCGCGGACAAGGGAGGCGCAGTTGTAGTATGGCGCACTGACCTCTACATCGCCGAGGCCGGACGCCAACTCTCCGACACCTCCTCCTACCGCCCCCTTGATCATGACCCCACCCCTGAGCACCAAAC